CCTGACCTGAGCACACACCCCTGACCTGAGCACACACCCCTGACCTGAGCACACACCCCTGACCTGAGCACACCCCTGACCTCTCTCTGTCCCCACCTGTCTGTCCTCAGAGGGTGACCTCACCATACCGGAGACGTCAGACCACAGCAGGAAGTTGATGGTTCGAACTCGCAGCAAGAGGAAGTTTCTTTTCAAGGTTCCTGAGGAGGAGCGACTTCAGCAGAGGAGGTGACTCAGCAAAATCAAACAGTGCCTCAGTGAAATAATAAAATCTGTTGACTTCACACGTTTACACTCGAATGTTAAACAGTTTCACTTGTGTGTTTCAGGGAGATGCTCAGAGACCCTGAGCTCAGGTCGAGGATGATTTCTAACCCCACAAACTTTAACCACGTTGCTCACATGGGACCAGGAGATGGGATGCAAGTTCTCATGGACCTTCCTCTGGTAACTCCTCCTCCTACTCCTTCTCCTCCTCCTCCTCCTCCTCTTCTTTCATGCCGGCATGATCTCCTCCTTCATCTTCTTCACACAGATCTGTTCATCACACTGACTCCTCCTCTTTTCTCTCCTCCTCCTCCCTGATTGGTCAGATTGGTGATGGTGCCTGCCTCTCGCCCTCCCCCTCCCCCTCTCCCTCTCCCTCTTCCTCTTCCTCCCGTCACACCCTCATCTCTCCTCCCTCCAACTTTGAGCACGTCTATCACATGACGTCGGCATCAGCCGGTGCCTTCTTGCAGAAAGACGCCTCCTCTTCCTCCTCCCAGCAGAGCCTCCTGCAGCCCTCCTCCTCTTCCTCCTCTCCCTCCATCTCCTCTTTGGGAAGGGTAGGCCACCTCTCTCTATCTCCCTCCCTCACTCCCTCCCCCCAGTGGTCAGCTCAGGTTAATGTTGCGTTCAGGTTCAGTTATGTGACACAGAGAGACACAGACAGGTGAGTTGGTTGTCATGGTAACAGTGTGTGTGGCAGATGAGACTGGTTCTATTTTGAAAATCCTGCATCACTTGAAGGCAGCAGCAGGTTGGAACAGGTGCGGGTGGAGCTAAAAGAACAGGAAGTGAAAGCGGCGGAATTCTCAGTATTGATTATCCTGCTGAATGTTTTCTTGATTGATGGTTGACTGATCGATCAGAGTCACTCATCACACTTCAGAACCAATCATCTCAGGAACTACACGTCCCATGAGGCTTTGCTGCAGAAACACTAGCAGATGCTCAGTTCATTAAAATGTTTGTGAGGGTGCAGGATGTTACACAGCCACAGGGGGCGCTGCAGATCAGCCTGTACATCTACATTTTATTGTTTTAATCTCTGTGTGTGTGTGTGTGTGTGTGTGTGTGTGTGTGTGTGTGTGTGTGTGTGTGTGTGTGTGTGTGTAGAGTGTGATGCCTTCCTCTCAGGACGACTCAGTGAAAGATAAGCCCCGCCCCCTGTCCAGTATCTCCCGGCAACACAGAAGCAAGACGCACATCACCCGCACCGCATCAGGTACACACACACTTACACACACACACATTCACCTGTCTCCAGTGACGTCATCTGATATCCTGATTTCGATTGGTTCAGATTTTGGGGGTGGAGCTCGCGGTGTCTCTGAACTCGACCAGGACCTGGACCGAGAGGTAAGCTGATGACATCATCTAAACTGTCCAATCAGAAAACTGCCCCGTCAGTCCTGCAGGGATCCACTCTGATTCATTCAGGTCATCCAAAACTGTTCTCTCCGCTTTTCCACCGATTCTTAAGAATATTCAGTTTGACTTTGGATTGAATTTAAAATATTCAATCATTCTGAATAAATAAAATAAGCACACAACCAAAACTAAGAGTGTGTGTGTGTGTGTGTGTGTGTGTGTGTGTGTGTGTGTGTGTGTGTGTGTGTGTGTGTGTGTGTGTGTGTGTAAAAACATCAAGTGAAACAAAGTGAACTTGAGTTTTGTTCAGGTTCTAATAACTTGTGACGAGTGTTCGTGTTTTTAGTGAAAGTGACCAGAGAACCTTTTCACTCTGAAGACCAGCTGTCATGTGACATCACTAGAGAGAGAAACTGAACGAGATCATCATTGAATCTCTCTCTCTCTCTCTCTCTCTCTCTCTC